TTAGCACTTACATTTAAAGCTCTTGGAATAACTTTCCTTTATTCCAAATTCGGCTCTCAGCTTGGCTAAGATTTATTCCCATGATAAGTTGTGCAAGGCTTCGATCTTTTGAAACGCCTTTTCCTGTATCCTGCCAAGATGGTCTTCACAATGTGTTGATTATCCTCCGTAGTTAGTGACAGCACGCAACTCACATCCCTCAAAAAGTTTGATATGGAATATCCGTTCTCCCCAGTGAAGACAGGCAAATTTCTAGCCTCCTTTAAATTGGCAGCCAACGGTAGTGCCATATCCATTAATTTCTTTTTCAACTGTTATGCGTAAAAATTTTAGTATCGCAATTATCCGCGATTCCGTATAAATTATTAAATTTCACAAATTTTATAATTTTTTCCTTAATTTCGCGTTATTCGGTGATACTATCTTCTACTCAGTATCCCATCCTCGTTGCCATTTATGTTTAATGAGTAGATAAAACGCCAAACAAATGATAATTTAAATAAAAGTATACTTTATTAAAAAGGAAGAGCGGTAGTTTATTTGTGGATCGTACAGTTCGCCGTCGTTAATAATTGCATTGTACTTTAAATCTTATTTCTTCATTTGCTTGACTGGAACTTGAAGAGTTCCAGTAAATATGCATCATCAGCAATTATTCGTCTGATATCATTTAATGGATTATTGTGCAATTCAAATGGAAGGAAGGGTGATATAAATTCTGGCGAATATTTTGCGCCAATTATGTTTATGATTTTAATGCGATCAATCCAAGATGCGTTGTTGTTTACATCAAGCAGCTTTGATCAACATAGGCGAATCCATTTCATTTTTATTACTGGTATTTATATATATATCTCACGCAACATACTTCTGTATCGATTCGAGCAAAAGTTTCGTTCCCGCAAAATATGCTGTGTTGTATTGATTCACGTTAATGGTGTATATACGTAAGCTGACCAATCGTCCTCCTTTGAGCACGATTGTCCCGCTCAAACGTGATTTGTCCTCCTCAAAAATTTGAGCAAAAATGTCCTCCTTGTCCTCCTTTTCAAGTATTGTAGCAGTAATGAACTTTTTAAAAAATTTCGTTCAGAATATTATTATTTTCCAATCGTACACATTCATTATATTTAATAGGCGTTTACATTGTTCAAATTTCAGTTAAATGATGTAAACATTTGATTCAACTAATCGCCTCCCAATAAAAATCAAAAAAATATTCTCAAGTTGATATCCAACATAATTATCCGACTCATCTCTAACCGACGTGCAGATACTAGAGCTGCAAAACTATCGATAGCGACGCCATTCGATAGTTTGAAAAATACTATCGATAGTATCGTATACTATCGTGTTGTATATGTAGGGAAACTTCAACTCCGAACAAAATGTCTATAATATATATATATATATATATATATATATATTTGTTTTTTTCAAAAAATAAAACTAACGATACTATCGATAGTACAATCGATAGTTTTGCAGCTCTAGCAGGTACGCAAAAAGTGATAGAGAAACGATTATTTAATTGTCAAGTGAAAAACTAAAGCTATATACCAACAAAAAGTAAATACTCTTCAAAGTATCCTCAAATAATCTTGAAAGAAAATAAAACTCGAAGTGAATAAATTGGCAAACTTACTGTCGGACTGTGAACTGTGAAATGAATTATTGTAATACGATATTGATTAACTACATAATACAAAAGGAGTAATAAAATAAAAATGTATACTGTGAAGTGAATTATTGTAATACGATGCTGCTTAACCACATAATACAAAAGGAGTAATAAAAAAATTAATATTTAAATTCATCTATGTATGTCGTTTCAATCAAAAAGATATAAGGTATTTTACTATTTCAATGATATGTTTGAGACCAATTGGAGAATTAAATGGAGTTCAAGTTGAGAACTAGCATTTTCTCAACTTGAGAAACAGTCCCTTTTTCATACAAAGAAAAATGCCCTTTTTGTTGAGAACGCTATGATCCTCCACTTGAGGTACTGTTGAGAAACAATGTTGGAGATTTGAGAAATACCTCAGTTCTCAACCTAACCCCAAGTTGAGCTCAAACGTAAATGTTTGTTGGGCAGTGAAAGTAACCGCCTTTTAGCCCTAATCAATAATAGGTTTTTTCCCTAACAATCTGGACTGGATCCGGTAATTAGAGAATAAGCGAAAAAGTTTGCTTTTGAAAATGGACTATAATCCAGAAGTACGGGAACGCAAAAAACTACATTTCGTGCCCAAAATTTGAGTAACAGCTGATTCACGTGGTTTTCGTTTTTGTCACTTAAATGCTAACTCTTGGAAATTGAATTTTGGCTTCACAGATTTGATTTTAAGTATATAAAGACTGAAAATAAAGGCCATTCACTATTCCTTAAAAGCACCAAGTAAATGCAGGCAACATGTAACATGCACTTTGACACTTTATACATTTTTACCTGGAGAAAAAGTCCGGGCTGTTTCGGGCAGGAAGAAGAAGACACTTACCATCCAATACGTTCCGATTTTCGCTCTCTATTACCCATTTTGTTGAGTACGGCAATGATTTCTGGGATGTTTTGGGCATCCGCGGGATCCAGCGTTGCGTACGGGAAAGAACCTTATATTTAACCTTTACAACATTGAAAGATTAGCTAACGACGCGTCTCCACAGGCGGAAATTATTGCCTACCATATGTCATTTTGTTTGCTAGATACATATGTATGTATAACTTTTATCAGTGGCAAAATTTGTGTATGGGGATTTTTTATCTTGAAAAAAGATTTTGTAAGATGGCTTAAAATAAGTATGTTTGTTGCATTGGAGTGCAAATCTGCTTCAAAAATTTTATAAAATCTGTTATTTCACATCCAAGTACATGGTTTTCCCCTTAAAAAATTAATTAGCGATTTGGGTATATATAGATACCACGCTACCAAAAAGATAACAAAATTTTCGTCACGAAAATTTTTCGAGAAAATTATTTTTATAATTTTTCATAGCGATGCCGTGCACATCTGGCGTTAACTTCGAAATAACATAAGTAGTTCTGATTTACTTAGGCTCTTTATGAGTATTATTACTAATACTATTGGTTTTTAAGTAAAAATTCTATTCTAAATTAATTAACTTTTGGCTTTTCATGGAAATTGTTAAAAATTCTAACATGTAAGTACATGTCACCAATAAAAATAAATCTCGACGTGCTGGAAAATAACCAGGGATGTATTTTAATTTAAAATACTGTTATGGTACGCATACATTAGGAGCGGCAGTGAATGCAGGCGGCATGACACAATAGGGTGCACTATGGCTAGTCATGTCGGCTGGGCTGGGTTCTTGCATTCACTCCTGTTCCCTGCGCCATAGCAGAGAAAAGTCATGCCTGTCAAACATCCCAACGGACAGACACACAACAATTCAAGAATTCAAAAAAAAATTTAAAAGAAAATCCGTTAACACCAACAAAAAACAGTTGTAAAGAGCATTACATAAATATTTAAAATAACGGAAAAATCAAAAACACACTAAATCTGAAACTATGAAAACCAAAACGAAAAGCAGTGAACCAAAACAAAAAAAACTATGGCCGAATATGAGGCACCACCGCTGGTATTGTGGTGACTGGTGCTGGCCCACCCTCATCCGTGGCTGCTGGCGCACCCTCGTATCAGCAGCCCCTTATCAAATTCCTAACGTGCCTTCCTAAATAGAGAGCCGAATCGGCATTCCCATTTTATAATTAATTTATTAACACTTCTTCCTCTTAAACTAGCTCTTAAAAACTAAAATTCTTAGCCCTATCATCTCTTCAAAACTAATTCCTAACATCTAAATCCTATGGCCTAAATCTGTGCTTAAATACAAGGTGATTAAGACTAAGGTAAGTATCTGTGATTGTATTTTCTAAAACTAAGGTAAGTATGTCAAATGAAAAGTACCTTCGATAAAGGTAAGTTATTCGTTAATTGCAATATATCCGGTATTTCAAGAAAAGAAAACGTCTATTAAGTAATAACAGGTAAAAACTTAAGTATTTACTATCAGGTAAGTAGTCGCAAAGCGGGGGATTAGGTAGGAAAAATCAGGTAGGTATTTTAATTCAAGGTAAGTCCGGTAAGTATAAGTATCGTAAGTAAGGCTAAGTGGTAATTTATATTTAATAATTCGTTATTCACATGGTATTATTTTTCTTTATAAAGGAAAATTATTATTTTTTTCTTAGATTTTATTTTAATGTAGCAACGGGCTTTGTTATCGTTACTCTATTTAACTACTTATTTGATTTTATTTTATGATATTGTGGCCACTTCGTATTCATATGATTTATAAATCGTTATTAATTTAAATTCATTTTATCTAAATTTGAATTTTCATTTTCCTTTATATTGGTTTAGCTTATTTTATTTAATTAATTTAATTTGATTTAATTCAGTTCAATTTAATCTAGTCTAATTTTGTTAGTTTAATATATATATTTCCTTGTTTTCGCTATAGAATTTAATGTAATTATTTTAATTCAACTTATTCAATTTAAACTTTGTTCAAATAATTTTCCCTTAAACAAATTTACGTTATTTAACTATTCTTCCTCTTTTTATGTATTAAGCAGTTTACCTTAAAGGTGTAATTATGCGTGTATATATATGTATGTATGGAAAGTACACAATTAGGTTTCCACCATGATTAATAATACAAGGTTAGATAATTATTGACGGCCGCGGTTTGACACTCCCTTACAAAAGGTTGCATTGCGAAAATGGTAGTAGAAAAGTGCGCAAAGTAGGCAATTAGTAGTGAAATTCCTTTTGTAAATTCTAATGTATTTGCAGGAAATCTGGCAGTCTAAACGAAATATTGAACGAAATATTAATACATCTACGTGAATTACGTAATTTATGTGTTATTTAGCTGTATAAAAAATGCAAAAGGACTCAAAATTAAAATAAGACTACTAAGAAATTTATGTAAACAACCAATTTTAAAACAATTTATATTTTCATCAGTTAAATGTGCTTAATATGCATATACAAATAAACATAAAAGCTTATTCTTCCATTTCACAGCAAAACTACACTTTTTCCAAGTAAATTTGCAAAGAAGCAACACTCTGCCACTGCTAAGGGAGCGGTGGGAGAGAGACAACTGTCAGTTTATCGAACCTTGTATTATTGAATCATGGGTTTCCATGAAATAGTACTACCAAGTCATGAACGAAAGACACAAGATCACGTAAGAACAAGAGAGTGAAAAAAGTCGATTTTTTGAGCGGGTTCTACGCCATCTTGTTTTGCTGGAAAAATAAACAAAACAATGTAAACAAAGCAACCCAAATTGATTCACAGACGATTGATTTAGGAAACTTCTAACAAATTGTAGCATATTAATAAAAATAAATGTTGGAAAACGCGTTGTTGTGTTAAATTAACTCCTTTGTCGATGAATAAAAGTGAAAACTAGTGGTGTCCGCGTAAAATTACCTGTGTTTAGTTAGTTCATATCTCCGACATGTGCATGTGGAGCGCTTCATTCTGCGGCATAAAATGTATAGCTCCAGGAATAATCGCTCTTCAATATTACAATAACAGAGGTGTGTGAGAAGCAAAAGTCTCGAAAGGGACCACCGTGGAACTTGATACATTTCATCTGAAAAATATGTAAAATTATTTACTAACAAACTACAAATAAAGATATTTTGGTTTAAAAAAGTGGTGGTTTCGGCGTATACTTACTTTTGCTTAGTGAATAAAATGCTTGATTCTAGCTGGTTGAAGTAGTGCGTCCAGTACTGAGTTGGCGCTATAACCTGCATCGAAAAAAGGACAACCAAAAAATACAAATGTACATGTATGTACATGATTAAATTAGTTGAAAAATGTACATAAGAAAGGTGTATTGTGTACTTACATAAAAATACACAATCAATGCTTGGATTGCATAGTCATTATTGTGGGCTATCAGCCGTGGTTCGCCAATTTTTTAACGATTTTTTGAGTTGCTGAAAAGTGTAATCGAAAACAATTATTTGTAGTATAAAATCTTATGGAAATAAATGTATCTCACCTTACCTCATTTTATTATTTTACGATATTTCCGCTTTCGAGAGCGTGTACTATCAGAAATCTGTCTGTTCAGAGTTCGAATTCTGATGAACATTCGCGCACGGAAAAACAGTCTCTTTATTCTGTCGTGGCAATTTACATGTTCAGCTTTTTTAATATGTTCTCCCACATAATTGGCCATTGCTTGCAACCCAGTGCCGTTTATTTCTTCAAACACATTCTGCAGCTGCTGCATGTGAGTCATCATCGCCTCCGTTGGCCTTGACAAACCACCTTCGGTTAGTTGGTTTACCCAGGTGAAGCTGTCGTCGTCACATTCCACCCTCATGTCAGGCACTACGCTATGTAGCCTATGACATATGTAACCGGCAAGATTCTCGAGTCCGTCGTTCTCCAAGGACTCCAGCTTGTGTTCCTCTTGATCGGCAAATTCTTCGCTGACCGCATCGGGCGTCAAGGAAATCTTGTTAAAGATAATACCTCAACAAAGTATATAAGACAATAAATTACCAGTAGATCTCTTAGTCGCAGTGCGTACCCTATTTTAATCTAAGTAATCGAGGATGTAAGAGCGCAGCCTGTACTTAAATTCCTGGCGATCGGGGTGGTTATTCATGCCTCCTTTCGACCGGATAACGCCGAAAAAATTCTCCAATACTTCCTGGTTTAGTCGGTACGTTAACACGTACTTTAAGTTGAAGCGCGTTTGTAAGTCTTCGTACAACAGCTTCAATGCTAAAATCGACTGTATAATTCCTACAAATATAAAAATAGGTATAATTGATGTAAATATTAATTTTACAATTATTACCTTTCTGAAAAGGTAGTGGATTAGTTTTTCCAATGACTCGCATATCCGCCATCATATCCGCCATTCTTTGCAGAATGTCATTTTGCACTTCCAGAGCTAGACCATATGCGTGTGTCCGCGGTCTTGTGTCAGGATACGCAACCCTGACGTTCATGACGTCAAACCAGTCATTAGTCTGAAAAATATGTTATAAAGAATAAGTTATTGTATTGTACTTATAAAAGATATTAGGGGTATTCGGGCCTGCCTTGTTATCTGGTTAAAAATTATTATTCTCTAGTGTATTTTGTTTTTGTATACATAGTTAAAAAAATATCCACATAACCAGATAACCAAGCAAGTGTGAATACTCCAATTATGATTTTAAAGCAGTACTCAGAAGCTTAAAAAGTGCATGACACTCCTCCCAGTTGTGTGCGCTTAAGTGGCCCAGGCTTGCAGCTCGCGTTATGGCTTGCGAGAAAAGCTTTGTAGCCATTTTAACTTTTTGCCTCTACGGACCAAAAACGTTAAGGTGGCTGCTATTTATTTTGTGTGTGATGGACAACTCGGAGGAAGTGCACGAGAGCAACTCCACAATGATGTCCTTCTTCACTTCTTTGCCTTTCAGAATAAAGCCGCTATCCAAAAAGTGGTTTCGCAGGATCTTTATTAAATGCAGTGCATCGGGAAATACAAATATATGCTCATTGGGACAGGGGAACCTAAAAATAAAAACGTTTTATAAATAAGAAAGACATCAGTGCTTTAGAATGTTATTGTAACTTAGCATGGAGTATCATATGTGACGCCCAGCTCGTTAAAGAGCGCCCTGTTTGTGCCACCCAAATCACTTACAACAGCTACAATAGACATTAATCCTGTAAAAGCAATGAATAGTTATATGTTATATGCGTATATATATGTATATATAGGATATATCTAATTACATACCGCGTAACATTGCTACTTGTACGTAGTCTACTGGCGCGTATGTAGTATCGGAAGATTTGTCGTAAAAATAAGCTTTGCGTATCTTCATTTCATCGAAGCTCAACACGCATATCTTCTGCACTATATCAAGCTGCGTGGCGGCCGACAAAATTTTCAACACAGGTTCGATTACGCCTGTAGAAATTGTAAGTTTGTTGGCCCAAAACTGGAGCGTGCGCACAGCAGGAAGAGGAAACCCCCATTTCTTCAGCAGCCTGTACACTTTGGCGCTGGTCTTCTGCCCATCTCAAAACCTTGTTTCCCAGCCTTAGCTTTTTAATTTGCCCCGGAGTGAATATTGAGAGGAGCTTTTCCTCAATATTTTTTTGCTCGAACTCTACTTTTTAAGGCGCAGCTGGAGGCCAGCGATTTCTTTTTTTAAGGTCTTTTCAGTTTCTCGCAAGGCGCTTTTTTCTCGCGTTAACGTTTCGCTGTATTAAACCAGTTATTTAACCAGTTACTTAAAAAATATACACATTACTCAAATAATATTACATCTCCAGCTTCAGTTGTCTTCCAAACGCTGTTTGGAGCAGTTTCGTAAACGCCGATTTTCCCAATCAAGCGATTCACTACGGAAAATTTATAAAAATGTTTACGTTATGTATACAAATCGTTACTTCGTATACACTTGCATTTTTTGGCTAAATCGCGCTTTTTCAAATTCAGCCTCCTTTTTTAAACCTTCCCTGTGGGATATAAAAACCGTTGTAAAATATGTTTATTACATCTAGAGCGATGTATTTATTTAACTTACACTTGTTGCTGCAACAATTCTTTTTGGTTGGAATTCTTTTCGTTTGCGACTTCCATCAATGGCAACCTTCCAGGCACAGCTATGTTATCTTGTTCATCGGCGTCAATTACCCGTGCAGCTTCCAACAAATCACCTGTACTGAGGTCATTCCTCTTCACCTCATGAACATCTTCGGCGTCAATTATCCGTGCAGCTTCCAACAAATCACTTATGGTGAGGGCATTCCTCTTCATTTCATGAGGGCTCTCTGCCTCTTCAAGCAATTTGGCAGCCTCCAACAGGTAACTAATGCCTGAATTGGGGTACCGTTTCTTACCCACTGTCGGGACTACCCCCTTTTTGAGCTTACGATATTTCACCAATCCTAGTACATAGTTCAGTCCAATCAAAGTTTCATGTACACATATATGGGTAAGAAAATTATGATATTTACCCATGTCAACTTTCAAAGCGTTTGCAAAATCTTCCGGCAGAAAGTGTTCACTACATACTCTTGCAGTTGAGTCTACCTGTCGCCCGCAAAAGTCCATCCACTGCTTGCGTAAGTTTTCATCTCTTGGGAGACGGTGAAAACTTATAGAACGGTCATTATAGAACTCGTTTTCGCATCCTAATACGGCACACTTCATTTTAAAATAATTTTCACCCACAATTTTTAAAAAAGTTTAAACACAATCGAAAATAAACCGCTTTGTACAATATGAACCAGTCGCAAAATGTAAACAAACATCTGTAAACAAAGAACAGCTGACGAACCCGCTTTTTTGCTATTTTTTTCTCAAAACCGGTTACAAATACAACGTCGCGTTCTTACGTGATCTTGTCTTTTTGGTTCATGCTACAAAGTATGAATACATAAACGCATTTTCGAAGGTATGTTCATAAAAACGATTACTGTAATCGAAGGATCCTCCATATTTTTAAAACTTTGCCTTTATAGTTGCAATTTGTAGTATATATACGCATCTATCCTTGCAACTTGGTAATACAAAAAAAAACTTCTACATATACCTAACATATTTATACAAAAATTTTGGTTTAATAGACGCTTTCCCGATCTGCTGGCCATACTTCTAATGATAATTGCTAATTATAATTATTTAGAGTTCAATTTTAAATTAAAAATTGGTTGTACGGCCCGAACGACTCACCCTTGTTGCAGCAGGCTTGGGTGTGGCCTGCTGTTGTCGTAGTCGCTGGTGTTGCGCGCTATTGTTGCTGTTGTTGCGCACTGTTGCTGCTGTTGATGGGCGCTGTTGCTGTTGTTGCGCACTGTTGCTGCTGTTGTTGCGCGCTGTTGTTGTTTCGACCGATGTTGTTGCTTTCCGGGGTCGCTTCACCGTTGTTGTGATCTTGCCGGTATGGTGCCGGCAGCGGTGTTGCTTCACCGGTGTGGTGATCTTACCGGTGTTTTGGTCTTGCCGGCATTGTGCCGGCAACGGTGTTGCTTCAACGGTGTGGTTGAGGCTGATGTTGCTGTTGTTGCGCGCTGTTGTTATTGTAGTTGCGCGTTTTATTTGTCGCTGTAGCGCGCTGCTGTAGTCGCGCGTTGTTGCACCCGCTGCTGTGGCGGTTGTTGCTGTCGCCCGGTTGCTCACCCCGGTTGATGACGTTCGTTGTGTGTTGTTGCTGTTGTGCGGTGTTGCTCTCGCGCGTTGTTGTTACAATGATGAAGTAGGTAGAAAAGCAACAAATTGAAAAGTTAGAAGGAGCAGATTACAAACTTTTAGGGCATTTCTTTGCAATTGTGGTGAAGTTCGCAATTCGGGTGAGGCCATTCCCAGTATTTTTGCATAGAACACCGTCGAACTTTACAAAAAGTACTTATTTTAAAAAGATTTTATTAATAACTTTAATAACAAATACCTAAAAAAACTACAAGGCTCCTGCAGTTAAAACTATATATCGCACACCGTCTTCAAAAGAGTCACAACTCAAAATTTGGCATTTTTGAAATTATGCGCTAAAAATGTACACAGAGCTTTTATTTAACTTTCAGCAAAAGATGGAGAAAATTTTTGTTACAATTTGTTAAAAAAAAAACCTAGCTAAAGTCGCCCTTGCCCATATGATGAGCATGTGCTTCGAAATAGTTTTTCGCATTTTCTGACGAACGTATTTGTGACTCTTTTGAAGACGGTGTGCGATATATGCAATCAGGAGAACTGACCCTCCTTTCAATAGCTACCTTAATACGGAACTCCGGGGATGCCAAACTAAATTGCAGTCTAATAAAATATTGCTCGGAAATAAAAATTTTTTGTTTTAAATTTAAGCTAGTGCTTTTGATACACGTGTATGTTAACGTTTTTTGATTCGGGTTGCGTGTTTGCACCCAGCACCCTAAAATCATTGCACAATTTACCAAACTGTACCCCAGTCGACTGTTACTTAATTCGTCCATTGCAAGGTGTATGTGTGATTTCTTGCTCCAAGGTGATCCATTCAAATAACAAAAAGCTGGAGCAGAATAAAGTAATTTAGAGCAAGAAAATTCTCATGAAACCCGGAGAAGCGCTCATTAACACGACTTAAAATTATAACTATTAAGGCTGAGGAACACTTACCTTGATTGCGGCTGATGCTGACGGTTGTTTTACGGTGCTAGAGGCTTGTGGTTGGTGGTGGTGCTTGCAGGCACGCGGTATAAGTGCTGCTCCTCCGACTGGCACCATATTAATGCATTTGGTGTGGCTCTACCGCTTCCGTCGTGTTTGCTGTTGCGGAAGCTCGAGGTGCGGTTGGCACGTTAAATTCACCTTGCTTTAATTGTTAAATAATTTAGTTTGGTTTTTTCACTTGGCCTTGCGCGTTAGGAATTAAACCGAACCGCAGAAATGCTGTTGATTAAAGAAATAAAACTTTTTCCGTGTTTGCCGTATTTGTAAGTTACTTTATAAAATTTTGCACCTCCTCAATTATGTGCATCAACAATTTACATACTACCGTAATTTATGAATATTATTGTACAATTCGTGCAAAACGTTTACTACTACACTTTATTTTCTTTGTTTTTTTTGTTTGTTCACTTTCCGCCCATTCCACTACGTTTGGTTGTCGAGTCTGAGAATAATTGGCCGACTGTGGTGTTGCCAGCAGGTTTTTATCCTCTTGCACTGCGGGAATTTAGAAGAATAACGGACACTGCGTCATTTGGACTTGTTCCGCTACTCTTCCAAATGGAATTTGCCGCAGTGTAAAGAGGAATATCAAAAAAAAAATCCGGGGTTGCCGTGACTCCTTTGCAAGTATTTTTACCGGACTTAACCGCAAACAAAATCTTTAAAAATTGCTAGTTTACAAATTTGACAGTTTCGTGGTGAATACGAACGTCAGAATTTTATCTAGCTCATGTGCTAGGTAAAATTTGACAGCTTCTAAGTGTAATCAGCTTTATTATGAGTTTCATTTTTTTCCGGACCGGTTCACTTTTCAACTTTTGGTTTCCATGTATTTAATATGGGCGGATGAACAATTTTCGGGCGAAACTCAGGATAAGGCAGAATATTGTGGGCGGCAGTAAAGAATGAAAATCAAAATGGAATCCGATAAAACAAAAGAACGTACGTTACTTGCAAGTTATAAAATGGATTTGACAATTTCAGTAACACACAAAATTAGAGCTTCGCACGAGCGTGGGTTTGGGTTTTGGCACAGTCCGTATGTCAAAATATGGATAATGTTGCCGCCAGAATGTTTTAGGTGCAAAGAAAACGTAGTTATCAAACTAGTAAGTTACCGCAATAGATGCCAAAATATAAGCCCTGATATTTATTGTGCCCGCATTCCAACAGCTGTGCCAAGTGACAATCAGCGACAACTGTCCGTAAGGAACACAGCTATCGTCAAAATGGCAGACTTTCAATGCGGTTTTAGCGTTGCCGTACGCTCTACAAAAATATGACATGGTGAAATTTCTGACATGCTATCGGGTGCACTAGAGTAACCCATAACAAACCTGCTTTACTTCCCGACCCGTCACCGAAGCGAACAGGAAAAGGGGTTAACTGTCTTCCGCTAGACGTCCGGTAGTGTAACTATGTGGTAAGATCAGTAGAACGTGCGGCACGACTCACCCCTGAGATATAGAGTCTCAGAAAAGAGAAATCTTTAGCCGGGGAAAAAAAATAACACCCCGTAGTTACGTCAGGTGCCAGTTAGGGTTCGTCCGACTCAGTATTGGTAGTCTAATAAGTTAAGTTTGATGTTACGAAAATACCGAAGTCAACGCATTTACTATACTCCGCGTCAGTATTCGCTTGTAATGCTGGGTGGACTCGTTATTGTGTAGCCGGTCTCTGAAACAATAAGCCTACTGATCTGGTTAATACTGAGCCGGGCTCCTAACATTCTGGCATTTGTAGAACAATGAATTTTATGATTTAAAAGGTTCAATCAGGGGTTTCAGTACGTCAGGGTGGCTCTCGTAATTCTGGAAGAAAAAAATATTAAAGGTTAGGTCAGAGTTTGCCGAGCATATTTGACTCGGAAACTCAATCCCGGTTGCGTAACTAAGTGTGGGTTGAAGTGGCGTTCTATGCGAAATGCTTAAGTCAGAATTACGCCGAGTAAACTCTGGGAAAATTTCAAGTCCGGTATTGAGGTGGTTCTCTATTGTTTTAGGCCAGAGAAGCCTACCCCCCAATTGCCGAACTTAGTCGGCATTAACACCCTGCTCCCACTAGTTCAACTTCGCTAAGAAGAACACAGGGCAAGCTGTCCTGAAAAGAACACTTGGCCGCGAGTTTATAGCCGTCCGGCGGCTGGGAAAAACCTGTATATATTTATTTTGTTTCCTATTCATTATGGCTTTGCGGCCCAATAGACATTTTCTTAAAGGAAAACTCGTCAAAACTCCGAAAGATATCAGACATTTTGATAAGGAGAACTCGTCAAAGCTCCTAAAAGACAATCCTAATGAGAGTGCGGATTGTCAGGCAGTTCACGACTCCCGCTGGGAGCGCGCGTGAACGTGCTATGAATATAGATGCTCGGAGAGGATACTGGGCAGTTTGTCCCCGACCGCCAAAGCGCCCAGTGAAAAAGACAGTAAGAGAAAAAAAGATACTCTATTCGCATTCGTTGGCTAGAGTTAGCCACCGCAAATTGCCGACCTTAGTCGGTCTTCACAGTACGGACCTTCCGCTAGTCCAGTAACTCGTTTCTGTCCCGATTCTCTACTAGGGCAAATTCATATCTGCTAATGAGTTTTCATAAAAAAACGGCCTCAAGCTCATTAAAAATTGTTGAATATAATTGTTATAAGGCCATAAAATAACAGAAAAAAATAACTTAAGGACGAGCACACCTAAAAGTCAAACATTCTAATAATAGACGTATTAACAAAAAACCAACAACCACATGATCATGTGAATTGCAGCGGAATAGCTGCGCTTGATTGTAGTTGGCTTAACAAGTGAAATAGTGGAAATAAGCAACAAGAATTAACAAGGCGAACTTAGCACAGTGCGTAGGCAACTGGCTGAGCCAGTGGGATCGTCGGTTCGAATCCTACTCAAAGAAGTTTGATGAGGAAATATGGTGATTTCCGAAATAGCTATCACTTCTACCATTTTTTCAAATTATTTTTGCTTTTCCACAATAAGTTTTCATTAAAAAACGGCCTCAAGATCATTAAAAATTGTTGAATATAATTGTTATAAGGCCATAAAATAACAAACACAAATAACTTAAGGACGAACACTGCTAAAAGTTAAACATT